ATTCTCTCTGTAACTCAGGATTGCTCCTATAATGCAGTCATATCAAGTGTATGCATCTGTATTTTTATCTAGTATTTCAAGTTGTGACATTAATTCTAAACTAACTAAGTATCTCAGGTTTCCCCCATAGTCATACCTAAAGGTAGTTAGTTCTCCAACAATTGTACCACCCATTTTTTTCTATTTTATTACTTTATCTAGAACAATGGCCTTCATCTTGATTCATCTGAGCAGGAGGTTTTTTGTTTGTTTGTATGTTTGTTTGTTTGTAGGCGCCTTGGGCCCTGGCTCCCGACTGTGAGTGGCTGCCGCCTTGCTTGCTGACCTTTACCAGATGTCCTCCCTATTCAGATTCCCTGCCGGTCTCCTTCTCACCTAAGGATCACCAGAAAGCTTACCGGAGGTTCTTTGTTCCTACATCCTGTTTGTGGTGTAAACAACTTAGATGCATCCTGTATTTTGGTGTAAACAACTTAGATGCAAGAACGTAGACCATTGGGTCTAGAATGTAGACCATTGGTAGCGAACTTCTGCCCTCCGGGAATCCTCCATTTGTGTTGTAAGCCTGTATTTAAGGTTTCTTCCCTCTATCAATAAACGGCATTCGGCATTCAGCCATGGAAAATGACTCTCTGTCTCTTGTCTCTATTTTTTAATCCGCAGCCCTTCGCTCGGACATGGTGAATGGGTATCGGTAATGCGGGCGTTACCGCTACATTTGTTTGTTTTGGTTTTTCGAGACAGGGTTTCTCTATGTAGCTTTGCGCCTTTCCTGGAACTCACTTGGTAGCCCAGGCTGGCCTGGAACTCACAGAGATCTGCCTGCCTCTGCCTCCCAAGTGCTGGGATTAAAGGCGTGTGCCACCACCGTCCGGCTGTTTGTTTGTTTTTTAATCAGTGTCCAGGTTTTAGCCTGATGTGTCCTCTTTGGAGAACTGGAGACCTTGTCTCTTCCTTTCTTATGCTTGAAAAGGCACTTGAGTAATCAAGCCAGGACTGGAGTTACATTTTCAGGTAGATGTTAATCTAGCTACTTTGACCAGTTCTGAGTCTCATCTCACAATGCAATAAACGGCCTCAACAAGGGTCTCCTGGTAACTGAGGCATCACAGTGAATCCTATTTGCTAGAAGAATGTATACCAGTTATGACGTCAGGGTTTTATTGTTGTTGTTTGGTTTTGTTTTGGTGGTACTAGGGACTGAACCTAGGTCTTTGTACTGGGCAAGGGCTCTACTACCAAGCCACTTCATTAGCCATCTTTCTTTAAAAAAAAAAAAATTTCAAACGACATTTATTTAGCGTGGGGGGTGGTGGTGGGGGGAGGTCAGAAAACAACTTTCAAGTATCTGCCAAACACATATTTTTAAAGAACGATGTTGAGCGGGGCCTGGTAGCACATATCTGTAATCCCAGCCCTGAAGTGGTTAAATCAGGAGACTGGCCCACAGTTCAAGGCCAGCCAAGGGCTACCTAGCAAAACCCGCCTCAAACAATCGCACAGTGTGACTGACATACAAGGCATGCAGTGGAAGGCAGGCAGCAGGTGGAAGTTTTCATTTGGGGATAAGAAGTGTACAGAAGCTGACTGTACTGATGCATTCCAATTATCCCGGAAGTGAGAGGATCAAGAGTTCAAGGTCATTTTTGGCTATGAAGTATTTTCCAGGCCAGTCTGGGCTACACAAGACCTTGGTCACAACCTCCTTTGCCCCCACATAGTAGCCTATAGACAACGGAGTTTGCCCCCATTTTTGTTTTATACTGTCTGTTGAATAGGCAGGTAGGTTAAAGTCTATTTTGTTTGGGGGCAAAATATAATGTTATTTTATATGTTCTTCCACTCCATTAGACTGTTCACCCAAATCATGAAAACTATTTTGACTTTATTTTTTTCAGTCCACGGTCTTTGAAAGCTAGAGGGACATTTTGTCGTTGTTCCTGTGACTCGAGGCTCGATTTGGCAGACCACAGAAAGCAGGATGGCCAGCAGGAATGATGGCCGGCGGGACCTGTCAGTTTCAACTCTGCACCGTAAGGGACCAACCCGTCTGTCAGAAAATTTTCCTTTTTTTTTTTAAAGTACTCTCTTTTGTTGTTGTTGTTGTTGTTGTTGTCGTCTTATGATTTTTTTATTTTATAATTTAATTTTACATATCA